CTCTCCCGCAGCTCGCGCAAGATATATGTAAAGGCTATTGTCATGCCGGATATGATATATGGTGCCTGCAGCTTCTCTGCAGCCCTCCGTGTGACCCAACTTCAGCGTCTGCAAGCCATGCAAAACCGGGCGATCTGATGCATTGATGGCAGCCCGCCATGTTCCGCGATGCAGCCCCTCCTGGCTGCCAACTCGATTTACCGCGTCATTGAACTTTTTAAACAAAAGCTCCTGATCTTCATCTGGCGTTGTCTAAATGACTCCACTAGCCTTGCTCTAGCCCAGCTTCTCAAACCAGCAGCATGCAGCGGCAGAAGTACGCGCCATTCTCCGTGCCAATGGTCTGCTCAGCCAGCCAGCTCGCAGTCGGTGTGGCCAAACGAGATTCGCCACCGCAGGAGCATTGCTGTGGAACAGTTTGCCTAGAGAGGTGCGCACCGTATCCAGATTGCAAGATTTTAAGCTAGCCTGCCTTCCTTATGTATGCCTGAAATAGGTTGTGTTTCGTCAGGCTTTGACATGTTCCTTTCTTCTCAGTATTCTCGCTCGCATAGTACTCCACTTCTATGATAATATTGCCTATGCTGTTGCTCATTAGGATTTTGGCAAATTCTACCCTTCGCTTTCATATAACTGGGCCAGGAACCCGTTTGAACTTGCGAGGTAAAATAAAATCAATCAATCAATCAAAGCATAGCGTAGGGCCCTGAGCTTCCAAGCTCTCTCGTTTGGTGTTTGTTTGTTTGTTTGTTTGTTTGTTTGTGTCACGCCTGGCTCTATCCCGTATCTGTCCCGTACCGTATCGCACAGCTGGCCATTTGCTGGCTCCCGTATCTGTCCCGTACCGTACCGTACCATCAAACACAGCTGGCTACAAACAGCTGGCCACAATATTATGTACATGTATACGACTCCCTGTGTGTTGCAACTGTGCTTGAAGGGGACGGTTGCACATTTTGTAGCTCCGTTTTATCTGAGTTTTCAGTCGTTTCTCTTGCTAGTCTTGCCAAGGAGGTGGCTCTGAGTCCACCAGAGTTGCCCCTGGCGTATTTCTGAATTTGCTGGGGCGAGGGTTCCGCGACGCGGTCGCCAAGGCGGTGTCTTTTCAGTCACGACCGTTGTCGTCCTCGTCTCTCCATTCGCGGTGGTGTAGCTGATAGTGTCAGCCCAAATTTGCCGGCAATTCTTTTGGCATAATATCGAAACATTTTAGAAAAAGAATTGCCCGGCATATTTGGAGCATAATTTCGAATATTTTGGAGATTTTCACCGTGATTTCGCAGATACTCGAAGTTTCACGTCCAGCACCAGAGGTACATGCGTGTTTTGTACTAGGTCCATGCTCAAAACTAAAATCCCTTTGCACGGCAGCTTGGTAATGAGCATTGTGAGGTCAATCTTCACACTTTAAAATGTGAACCCAGCAAAAACCGAGCCAATTTCGATGTTTTTCTGAAATTTTCTCCAAAATTTGGTCCAAATTTGGCGTTTTTGAAGCTGTCATCGAGCATAATCAGAGCAAAATATCGTCTCCGCCCGGAAATGCCAAGCATAATATCGAAAGAAGCGCAGCAAAATTATGCGGCATAATATCGAAAAGTCTCGAGCAAATTTGGGCTGACACTAGTAGCTGACCCCCGAATGGTTTCAAACTGCGAAGCTTGGGGGAGTACAGTGGTGGCAGAGGCATGAGCTGTGAGTGGAGACGGTTGCTGGAGATGGATGGTGATGCAGGGAGAAGAGTTACGCTGCCTGACGCCGCGTGGGAAATTGTTTGAACCTGCAATTTCAGTTCGAGCGCGGTGGACTTCTAGACGATGTGTCCTCATGGCTGTTTTTCAACACTTGGCCTATCGCTGATATCCCTGCGTGGGATGTTCTTCCAGTGGAGTCCAGGCGGGACTTCGGGTGCCCACACTCCATCACCTGGTTGATTGTTTCGGAACTGCAAAAATAATTATTGTTTCCTATTTTGTGCGCATCTCTTGTCATCTCTCTTTTCTATACGTCGCACACCAGATGTACTACTATCGCCGTCTTTCTCTTGCTTTCTCTCCCTGCTTGCTGCTTTTTGTTTCTGTTGCCACTGTCCCTCATCATACCCATGCTTGGGTGGTGGGCGGCGTGACCCGTTAGGGTAGCTGCCAATACAGTACGACTCCCTGATGTATAGAGAGACTTTCTGGAAAGAAATAGGGAGACGAGGAGGAAATGAAATTAGAATGGATGTTAGTTGCCGAATAGGTGATACGATGCGTCAGCAAAAACATGCTTTGGAAGAGAGATCCCGTCGTCTCCAAAATAGGCGTGAACGGGCGAGTCAGCGCCGGTCACAGGAAACGTCGGCAGAGAGATCCCGTCGACTCCAGAACGCGCGTGCTCGGCAGAGTCAGCGCCGTCCCAGGAAACATTTCCATCAGTTCCCACAACATGCACGATGAGCTAAGTAACAAAGCATAGCGTAGGGCCCTGAGCTTCCAAGCTCTCTCGTTTGGTATTTGATTAAATTTGTTTGTTTGTGTGTTTGTTTGTTTGTTTGTGTCACGCCTGGCGCTATCCGTATCTGACGGCAAAAAAGCATAGGATGTTATAAATTTTTCAATTCTCCTATTTTTTTTTCAGGCATATCCTGGGATTCGAACCCGCACTATCGCCCTACATGCATTCCCCCATACACTTCGCATTCATACCCATTCTTCCAAGTTGCTTCACGTTATTATCTTGCGTTTGAAAGCCCTATTTGAATATTGCGGCCAGCTGTATGTGGCCAGCTGTGTTTGATGGTACGGTACGGTACGGAAGACGGTGTCGTATCACCCTCGATCGTACCTGTCCCGTACCTATCCCCTACCGTACCGTGCCATCAAAGACGGCTGGCCACAATGCATATTCAAATAGGGCTTTCAAATGCAAGATCACAATGTGAAACAACTTGGAAGAATGGGTATGAATGCGAAGTGTATGGTAGAATGCATGTAGGGCGATAGTGCGGGTTCGAATCCCAGGATATGCCTGAAAAAAATAGGAGAATTGAAAAATTTATAACATCCTATGCTTTTTTGCCGTCAGATATGGATAGCGCCAGGCGTGACACAAACAAAAAAACAAATGTATGCGAAGTGTATCGGGGGATGCATGCAGGGCGCGCGATAGTGCGGGTTCGAATCCCAGGTTATGTCTTAAAAAAAAGGATTTTTTTAAAGAATTTATAATATCCCTATGCTTTTTTTTTGTCTAGGTCATCAAGGCAAAAAAAAGCATAGCGTAGGGCCCTGAGCTTCCAAGCTCTCTCGTAGCTGTGCTGATGAAATACATGGACTCTGCCTACAACCAATGCCTACGTGTGGTAACTGGGTGCACCCAATCCACACCAATCAATCTCCTCCATGAATGTGCTGGTGCCCCCACTCTCACTACCCGCATCGCGCGCCAGGCCAGCAACATAGCCAATACTGCCAAGCGACACCCCACTCCAACTCCATCTAGGCACGTTCTCGCATCAACTCCTCCCAAGCAGCGCATCCGCCTGAAGAAGACCACAATCATGGCGTCAGATGGCAGAGCAGAATCTACCACAGGCACGCTTAGAAACTCTGCCCCAGAGTACACCAATGATAGGATGTGTCTGTTCACAAGTCATCCTGCTCCCGGTGTGATGAGCCCCGTGCCAAATTCATTGCTGCAATGGAATGCCTTGATGATGTGTATCGGATGTGCCAAGCCCCGCGCCGACTGGTGATCTGCACAGACCGGCGGCAGTGTTACTGAAGATGGAGTTGGCGGTGGTGGCTTTCTTATCGAAGAGCACTGTAGCAATGCTGTTGCAGCCAGAGCGGTCGAATGTGGCAGTGTACCGGCTGGGAAGATCGCTACCTCGTTTACCATGGTTTACGGCGGAGGCAGCAGCGGCTACAGCGGCCCTTAAAGCAGCACTCCCAATGGTCAACGCTGATACAGATATCGTCCTCATCACGGACAGCAGGTCGCTCCTCGATGGCATTGTGGGTGATCCATACCATATGAGCCCCGATGTGACCTCATCCTACTCCGCACTGTCCGATGTTGCGGAACAGGCCAGATCTGCTCACGTGGTGTGGGTCAGCAGTCATTGTGGCATCACATGATCAAGGCCCAAGACAGGGCAGATCATCTTGCCAAGCTGGGGTGCGATGGTGACCAGGGTAACATCGACCTGCCTGTTCAAACAGCTCTAAGTAAGTTCTTGCTAAGACTTTATACTACAATTTGTAGTAATCAGCGAATGGATTGGACACAAACTATTTTGCTTAGCTTATTATTATTATTATTATTGTAGAAAGGAAAAAAGACATTATGGATACGAGTTAAGAGTAACTCTCCATCACTGTAACATGATACTTTATACAGTCAGAAAGTGCAATAACGAGGCACAAAACTGACAGAGTACTGAGACATTCGACGTCCTGACACCTAGCTTCAACACATCTCCGTAGCGCTAACCGACAGCCTTCCAACTTGGAAGGTTACTCTTAACTCGTAAATGTCTTTTTTTTCCTTTCTACATTTATTTATGGCTCAACATCCGAGTTTCAAATTATTGTTATTTTTTCTTCTTATTTTGTTAGGGATTTCCCAACAGGCAATGTTGCCTTTTTACTGGGAACCCTAAAGTAAAAAAATACAGGCCTCTAGTATTTATTTTACTTCCGGCACCTTTCTACTGTTTCGGTTGAGCAATAATCAGATATTTATCGTCCTTTCAATTGTCTCTATTTCTGGCATCTTTGTTTTGCCGGATACCAAAGAAGAACACTCCCGGCCGTCCGAGATTTCTCAACTGTCGAACCAATGTAGGTTGCCATTGTGTCATCCGGCGTTTGGTCTAGCCGCCCCTTTTACAAAAGCCGCCTTGGCCGCGGCCAATAAAACTCTGAGCAGCAGACGGTACGGAAGACTGAAGTGTGGGTGGACCAGGTACTGTGGCAGTGTGGGCCTACATTATTCATTGTACGAGTGTGGGTTTCAAAAAGAGTGTTTTTGCTACGACTTGTTGGGACTGTTTTGCAGCCCAATTATTTTCCCCCATCGTGCAGCAGTTTTCTAGTTCCCATCAAGCCTCGGCCTCGTGGAAATACTGCGAACATTGAAAGGACGCGACCATGGGGGCAAACTTGTCGTTCCCCACTGTGGAGTTGGCTGGCCGTGTAGCTATCGTCACGGGCAGCAATACGGGTACCGGTTATGAGACTGGCAAAGCCCTGGCACGCATGGGTGCCAAAGTGGTCCTGGCTTGCAGATCGCAGGAGAGAGCAGAGCAGGTCAGTGATACCACTAGCACTCACTCTTGCAGAGAGCACATTATTTTTATTTTAGTTTGCTTATCATCTCGTTGTACTGATGATTCAAGTAGTCGATTTAGTTTGATTGAATGGACTTTGACAAGGTCAAGCCAAGTTCGTACAGTTTCATACGAACTCACTGATTGGCCTCGTACGTTCCGTTGCTGACGTTCTTACTCGCCAGTTGTCGAATGCAGTATTTATGTTCGTGATGGATGCGCTCGCCCGGAAGTGGGCGTCGGAATGTTCAGGAAGGCAAAAGATAGCACGCAACCGATTTCAAATTTCGAAATGATTCCAGCCCAGTCTTCATGTGGGATTGTTGCACTTCAAACGGTAGTACTTGTAGTACGGTCCCTGTGGTCAGGTGGTTGGGTCTCAGCAATCAATTTAAATTTGTTACAGTACAATACTCTTCTAAATTGGAAGGCATAGAGAGATAGTCTGATAGCACATAACCAGTGGGGGGGGGGGGGGGGGGGCACATGAGTGACATGCACCTGCCATCCTACACATATGCGGCCGTGCACCCCCCCCCCCCCCCCCCCCTCTAAAAGGTGGACCAGCAACGCCCCTGGGAACCATGACCGAGAAAGAGAAGCGCCAACTTCAAATCCTACACGCGCAATAGATCATGCCGCTTCTCTCCTCACAACTAGTAGCGGACTCACACGGCATGAAAATGAACGAAACACGTTTGTGTAAAAGTGGAAAAGCTGCCCGTCGGAGACACGCGGACGACAGTCCCGTGTGTACCATACTCAAGTATTTTCACTGGTTTTGCAAGCACGCAAAGCACAAAAGTGGGCCTAGGACCCCCGAGCAAGTTTATCAAGATGTTGCACGCATGTTGGTCACACGAGTAAAAAGAGTACCGCACACGTGAGTTTGCGCGTTGTGTGAGTACCCTAGATTAAAATGAGCAACTTATCTGGGAGAGTAGACCGGACTGTAACGCCAGGCATACCTGTACTCAGGGGCGTCACCGGACCCTTCACAGGGGGGGGGGGTGCACAGGAAAACACGAAAAAGTTCGCTGATGGCAGGCCCGTCGCACCGACTTTGGAGGTGGGGCGGCCATGGGGTACGAGGGCCTTCACCGGGGAAAAATTTCAAAAATTGAAGCCAATTGCAAGCATTTCCGGGCATTTGGTGCCATTTCAGTGTAACTGCAATGAAAGACTTTTTGATTCTGCAACAAGCCAAGAAGACGCTACGATCGGGGACAAGAATTCTTCATTGTCCTCCCCCGGGAAAAAAATTCAAAAATTGAAGGCAATTGCAAGCATTTCCGGGCATTTGGTGCCATTTCAGTGTACATGTAACTAGGGTAACTAGTGTACGAGTCGTACTGCCTACTGGTCATGTACATGCTCTCGCTACATGCACTCACGCCGCGTCACGCGATCGCGGCAGCGCAGTACAACTAGTTTTAGTGCATGCAGTTTATTAGTAGATTCTACCAGCATGCACTACACTTTTCATAACCAGGAGTTCGCAAAAAAGCAAGGTCGAATTTTTTAGGGGGGTGCACGTGCCCATCACGGGTGACGCCCCTGGTACTCGTACCGTACCGGTTGTGAGAAAACATGGGACGCGATGGTACGGTTCCTAGCCAGCCCAGCCTGAAGTCAGTCATGTGAGCGTCCCTTGGTGTGGCTCATACCGCATGTCCGCACCTCTTAACGTCTAAAGCCATGGCGGTATATTCGATTGTGAAGGACATACACCCCCCTCTCTGTACCGTGCACTTGCAGGCAATTGAAAAGATGCGTGGTGAAGTTCCGGACAGCACGCTGGAAGTGGAGTTTGCGCCGCTCGATCTGTCATCGTTCAAGTCAACCGTGTCGTTCGCTGACTGGTTTCTAGGAAAGTACGACAAGTTGAACATACTGTGCTGCAATGCCGGATACCTTGGGCAAAACTACCGTGAGTCCCCGCTGTTGTGTCGGGTGTTGTTTGATGTGTATGTGTGTGTGTTTGTGTGTGTGTGTGTGTGTGTCCGCCCCGAACCATTTCGTCTCCCGTACGCCAGCAATTGCTATTTTGAAGCGCTTCAGCTCCACCACTAAAAATTCAAGTGTGTGTGCGCGCGCGAGTGTGCATGTGTGTGTGTGTGTGTATACTAGGGGTGAAAGTCGGCACTGAGATCCCGAGTTCGAGTACTCTGATTTTCTCCGATCGAATATTCGAGTATTCGAGTATTCTTGATATCCTAAAAATCGCACACCAACCGCCTTAAAAATCACATGATACAACCCTGATTGAATCGATTGGCAGTTCTTTTCTCGGGTGTATTGGTTGGTGGGTCATTTGGGCTCTCTCTACTCGTGTACAAATGTTCATCACACAGTCTGCACATCAATATCTGCTGATTGCTGCTCTGAAACTGCAGACTTCTGTGGTGAATGCATGTACCACGTATGAGCGAGTACTCTGATTTATTCCGAGTACGATTATATTTGAAAAATCCAAACGAGTATTCGAATATTCGGTATAATTGTTTCACCCCTAGTGTATACAGTCCGAATTTTGTACGGTCAAACCGCAATCTTACACAATACTTGCGCCATAACCCCTCTGAGGCCTTTACCGCAAGCATCTTTTCCCAGGAAATTTAAAACTGGAATTTTGCAACTTTTTTCAAGAAGGGGCGGGGGCGAAACGGCCATCGGCACGGACCATGCAGTCCGGGTTTTTGTGAGTACGCTGTGCCTTTTCATGCTAAATAGCCGGTTGATTAGAGACTATTTATAAAAAGTAAAAGGACCAAGGAATATTATTACAAGTTACACGAAGTCCTTAAGGCAAAAATTAAAATTTCACCAGTTGTAGTCTTCGGGGTGCTGAGTCGAATGGTCGTGGTCCGAGGAAGCTGAGACGCTCCCTTCCTACTTGAATCCCAATCGAACTCGCGCACTTCCACCGAAACTGGGTGACTGCGCCCTACTAGATGGGGATTTGTATGCAAAATGTCACTAAAAGCGCCATTTCGTTCTTATAAAAGCACGGATGACCGCGATTGGCCCATATGTTGTAGTCTTTTGGACGCTGAGTCGACTGGTTTTGGTCCGAAAAGGCTGCGATGCAGCGTTCCTCCTTTATTCCCAATCAAACATGGTTGAACAAGCGGTCACGTGCTCCTGGGTGCCCAAATCACCTGGTCACCACGCCAGCAGGCGACAACTTTCACACCAAGGTTCAACTCGAGTGACAGGACTGCACCCAAAAAAGGTCAAACAGGCTAGTAAGTTGTACCCTGCAGGCACGGTGACCAGATGACTGGCGTACGCAGGAGCACGTGACCGCTTGTTCAACCATGTTCGATTGGGAATAAAGGAGGAACGCTGCATTGCAGCCTTTTCGGACCAAAACCAGTCGACTCAGCGTCCAAAAGACTACAACATATGGGCCAATCGCGGTCATCCGTGCTTTTATAAGAACGAAATGGCGCTTTTAGTGACATTTTGCATACAAATCCCCATCTAGTAGGGCGCAGTCACCCAGTTTCGGTGGAAGTGCGCGAGTTCGATTGGGATTCAAGTAGGAAGGAAGCGTCTCAGCTTCCTCGGACCACGACCATTCGACTCAGCACCCCGAAGACTACAACTGGTGAAATTTTAATTTTTGCCTTAACTTCCCCTTTAAGTCCTTTTTACTTTTTATAAATAATCCTTAGCTCTCCATCCGAGTTCATTCTTGATTATAGACTGGTTGAACATTTGTCACATGACTATAATACCGGACAGCCGTGTTGGTTCCAACTCCACTCAACTCCTGCATCTATGGGTCACATGATGTCCACCATGTTGGGTCCACTTTTCACACGACATGATCACTTTTCTGCACAAATCTCGTCACATGACCAAGATGTAAAATAAAAGTTAATAACAATAATAATAATGTGAGACCACTCTGTATCCAACTGCTTCTTTGTTCTTTCTCTTTTCCATTCCTTTCAGGAGTCACGGATGACGGTTTCGAGTCCGTTTTTCAGGTATGTATGGAGGCGTACACTTACCGGTACTCTTCGTTAACTCTGTCCAGTGCAAGACTAAATTCATTTCAATTGTAGAGTGGCGTTTTTTTCTCTCGTGTTACGTCCTCTATTGAACCGGCTCACGAAATGAGTGCCTGGCGTTTGAATCTCTTACGCTCGAGTGTTCACGCGCGCGTGCGTGTGTGTGTGTGTGGTCAATTCATCAGCCTTGCAAGCTGTCGAATGGTGCGCTCCCAGCAGAAGTTGCTATGTCTAACATCGTTTGTTCGCCAACATCGCTTCAGCGATGGGCAGGAGTATGAGTGTGTGTGTGTGTATCTGCTCGTTCGTGAGTGTGCATTTTTTTTATTTCTCCTGTCAAGATCCTCTGAAGATAATGGAGATCATGGGTGCTCTCTCTCTGTCTGTCTCTTTCTGTCTCTCTCTCTCCTCTCTCTCTCTCTCTCTCTCTCTCTCTCTCTCTCTCTCTCTCTCTCTCTCTCTCTCTCTCTCTCTCTCTCTCTCTCTCTCTCTCTCTCTCTCTCTCTCTCTCTCTTTCTTTTTGTTCCATCCAGACCAACTACTTGAGTCACTTTGTACTGATCACTCGGTTTCTGCCGATTCTGAAGACCTCAGGCCCAGACTCGAGGATTGTCTCTGTGGCTTCAAAGGCCCATCAGATGGGAGCATTCGATCTTGCACGCACTCAGGAGGAACGGCAGTTTGGTTCGATGCGTACGTACGGTACCAGCAAACTCTTCCAGGTTAGTCGTTGGTACCAAGAGGATTATGAGAAGAGCGGGGCAGTCGCAGGGCTGTAGCTTGTGCCGATTTTTCAGAAACACTCTGAATTTTTCCTGGTTGTTCCTGCAAACCGACCAAAAGGAATCCTCACCTTTTCACTTGGATTGTTCACGAAAGGGCCCTATTAAATCTGTTGTTTCAGGCTCTGACAATCCTCTAAATGATTCAGCTTTATAAAGGCAGCGCTGCCTCCGTACTCCACGGCCCCTGGCCGGGGGACATCCACAGATCACGCTCAGATTTTTTTCCAGCAGAAAGTTGCAGCCCTGCAGTTGCTCCCAAGGAAATCCAGCCACATGAATGGGCCCGTGCCGCTGCGCCAGTGCACTCGGTATTCCAAAGGCAGGGGTTGCATAGTGACTGTCTCCTATGAGGCTGGATTTCACAGGGCAGCGGGACACGTGAGTGTGCAGCTCCGGGTGAGTTGCTGTTACGGTGAAATTCCCGACAGTACTGTAGTGCGCTTCTTCAGCAGCATCGGCCGCGCAGCTATACCGTCCGTGACAGTTTGCCATGCTAGATTCGCATTGCAGCACTCTGGGCTGCCCATACTGTTGCCAGCGGGCGTTCCACGCTGTTTTGTTTCGCAGAACCTGTTAAAGTACTGGTGATCAGAACTCGTTAAAAAGAGTCACGGTTCGCTCGAGGCTCAGGTAGACTGAGTTTTCAGCATCCGTAGGAACGCCACCATCTTGCAAAGATCTAAGGCGCAGATGCAGCTCCTAAAGCGGTGGGAGGTGAGTAGATCAGCCCACCGGCAACGTGGTCAAAGACCAAAAATCCCATTCACTGCATCCATGTTTCGCTTGTGCCACTCGCTCATTCGAACCGTATTGTAAATGTCTTGAAAGACAACTGGGTTAGGTGCGTTGGTAAAGTCCAAAGATGATTGTCCTGTGACTTTGACTGTACCGTACAGATTCTTGGTTGGAGGGAAACAAATCAGCACGCGAAGCGCAGACGCCATTGTAGTTTCGACTAGGCCTCTTTCGTACCATTAGTAATGGTGCGAAAGAGGCCTAGTCGAAACTACAATGGCGTCTGCGCTTCATGTACAGTGCTGACTGTACAGTCCAATATGCCCTAACCGGATGCCCTTTGTGCAGCGGAAAAATGTCCTGATACTAACCTCCTCTCCCCTGACTCACTTGTGAGGTCTGCATTCGCCACTAAGGTGAACAGGCATAGTGGTGGCCTGCGGATGCGAAGGCTATTTTGTGTGTTTCTGAACATTCAAGCGATGCCGACGCGGATCCCGCGAATATTATTATTATATTATTATTATATTATTATTATATTATTATTATAATATTTAAATATAAACTGGTTCGAGGGAAAGAGACAAACGGGAAAAGTCTGAAGAAAAAATTGACTGTCACCACCAGGACTCGAACCAGGGACCCTCGCTTGAAGCCAGCGATGCTCTAACCACTGAGCTATGGTGTAGTCGTCATCCCAGCAGAGGCCGTTCAACATTTTCTTCAGAATTCGTAACTCACACTTCCTGTATTATAATATTATTATATTATTATTATTATTATTATTATTATATGACAGAGTTTTGCTTGATGCAGGGATGCGCATTCGATCCATGGCACTTTGGTGCGTGACAATTTGTCCGGTCAATACAGTTGGTACAGGGTGCGGCGAACACATGTTTTACTGTAAAAAGCCATTTGTGCCTGGGAGAGTGGTTCGGTTCGGTTTGCCAGAATCTTGATTTGCTGGCATCATGGCATCATGGCATCATGGGTGTGTGTTCCCGGGTTTGTCCGCCTTAACCATTTGCTGTGCGTTCAGTGAGGTTTAGTGGGGCTGTAGTGCAGAGTTTTACTGCAACTGGTTTATCAAGTTGCCTGTTGTCGTATGTGTGTGTGTGTGTGTGTGTGTGTGTGTGTGTGTGTGTGTGTGTGTGTGTGTGTGTGTGTGTGTGTGTGTGTGTGTGCATGCATGCATGCACGTGTGTGTGTGTGTGTGTGTGTGTGTGTGTGTGTGTGTGCGCGGCTATGTGTGTGTGTGTGTGTGTGTGTGTGTGTTTTCTCAGATAATGATGACTGGAGCTCTGCAACGTCGCTTGACCGAGAGCGGCGTCAACGTATCCAGTGTTCACCCGGGTACCGTCAAGACGGAGTTCGGAAAGGACAGCAGCGTTGTAACCGCTTTCTACAATGTCGGCTTTGCGCTGGGTGAGTTTGTATTGCTGCGTATGTGCATGTGTGTTTTTGGGGGGGGGGGAGGGGGGGGGGGAGGGTCATCAGATACCTTGCTTGTCTATATGCGGTTTGTAACGTGTGGTATGCAAGTTAATCTTGCCGTGCTGGTGCAAGTTTACCTTGCCATGTGGGTGCTAGTTTGTCCTGGCAGGTGGGTGCATGCAAAAAGGTTTTTCGAATGTTCAGGACCTTTGACGTTGTGTTTCTCGTTTTTGTTTTTCCCCATCCCATTAGGCCATCATTTTTTATAGCTATGTTTCGCGTCGTCCGCACGCATACGTTTTGATTTTTTATCGGAAAAAAATAGAAAAAAGTCGAACATGCACAGTGAGTGTACGATCGTGCGAGTCATCAGTGCAGTGTGGACTGGTTGCATACGGCGAAGCTGGGATTCAGAAATGGCCCCTAGGCCAGCGTTGGTAATTCGTTTGTTCGGCATCTGGGAGCAATATTCTAAGAGCTTACACCAGACCGCATTGATCGCCTCAAGCTGAGAGGATGCGTCGTTCCGGAGCTCTTTGCACCGCTGCTGAAGTCTGAGTACAATGATCCAGCGAAGCATGGGCACCAACGGTTGCCTCCTCTGTCCAAAGTGAATATTTACTCATGCTGATAACCCAGATGTTTTGCTTTGATGTACGATTTTTCTGTCGAATGTACACTGTACACCATGCACGAGTGCTATGTACAGTGCATACACGTCTGATGAACCTTTTTTATTATTTTGCAACTTTTTATTTTTGTCCACCTCTCGCATAATTATGATTCTGGAAGTTGAACTGACGCGAAACATAGATATAAAAAATGATGGCCTTACCTCTCTCCCACATGCACACGCATAGGCATGTGCATGTGCACATACCGTATTCACCACATACAAGTGCATGCCCTTATATGCGGGAAAAATGCGCTTTTTTCTTCATTTCACGACGAAACAAATGTTCCGGATACTGTATAAGGGCGTGCCTTTAAATATGAGTATTCAAGTCTTCAAAATGCACTCCTGGGTCTGTGTTTCTTCATCTTCATGCCTTTATATGTGGAGGTGCCCTTGTATTCGAATATAAGTGCATGCCCTTTTATGCGCGTGTATACGGTGTGCCTAATTGAAAATAAGTACAAAATTGTTCTCAACATACAGGTGTTTGGATGATGTCATGATGATGTCATGTTTTGATTGTAGTCAAACTCAGCCCATGGCATGCCTGGTCATGGGGCTGTTGCAATGTTTCCCCAATACCACCTGCAGTTTTATGTATCTGGCTCTGGGCCTGTGTGTGTGTGTGTGTGTGTGTGTGTGTGTGTGTGTGTGTGTGTGTGTGTGTGTGTGTGTGTGTGTGTGTGTGTGTGTGTGCCAGTAGTGCTTGTGACCCGCATTGTGTGAGACTGCTATGATCGCACTTTAGTGTTTGTAGAAACGCAGCTTTGTGAAGTTGCCATGAAGTGTATGGTGGGTGTGGTGCATCCGTCTATGTTCTTTTCGATCTGTGTTTAGGTACCATTCGCAATGCAGCTGAAGGGGCCGCGACCATCATCTACGCCTGTGTCACACCGGAGCTGGCCGAGCAGAATCATATGTACTTTGAGTCCTGCAAACCAGCGTTCTCCAACGCACTCTCTCGGTGAGTGTTATGCAGGACATTGCATACAGGTTTGGTGAGGAATGTGTGCTCCTTTTTCGAAGCGATCACGGTGACCAGGCGACTGGTGTACGCACGAGCACGTGACCGCTTTCTGTGTTCGATTGGGAATAAGGGCCGAACGCTGCATCGGACCAAAACCAGTCTACTCCGCATTCAAAAGACTACAACATATGGGCCAATCACGGTCATCCGTGCTTTTATAAGAACGAAATGGCGCGTTTAGTGGCATTTTGCGTACAATTCCCCATCTAGTAGGGCGCAGTCACCCAGTTTCGGTGGAAGTGCGCGAGTTCGATTGAGAATAAAGGAGGAAGGGATCGTCTTAGCTTCCTCGGACCAAGACCATTCGACTCAGCACCCCGAAGACTACAACTGGTGAACATTTGATTTTAGGGTTTACTTCTCCTTTAAGTTTAAAACTGTTCGGGCCATTTTTCAATGCTACAGTAGAGGCGCGCGCCCAAGAACGTTGTTTCCAAGGCGTTAGCCTGGGACGTTCTTATTTTGTCAGCAATCTGGCTGCGTTCTTATAGCACGTTCTTAGAAGCAATCCGTCCTGGGTCATATGTATCCCACGAGCTGCCAGAAAACCGACACCGCCGCTCTTAGCTTTAGGCTGTGGCGTTCTTAGAATTTCAGGCTGGACGCTCTTGGGCTCCACGTTCTTCAGCGCTCGACTCTACTGTAGTGTGCTGGTTAATGCTTGACTGTAAGTCTATAAATTGGTGGCATAGTCAAGTGTCGGCCTCCCACATTTTCGGCCGCAACAAATTTTCGGCCCAATATGCCCAGGCCGAAAAATAAAAATAAAAAATAATTAAAAAATTCGACGGGTTCGCGTAAAGGGAAAAAAATACATAAATATGCGCCGAATAATTCTGTTGACTTACAGTAGCGTATTTGCTGGAGTATAGTGCGCACTTTAGATGTACTATTTCAGGCCCCAAATCGCAGGTGCGCACTATGCTCCGAATATGAAAGTGCATGTGCATGCACTTTGAAAATTAGTGCAATGTATCCAACGACTGCGAAGTTTGCCGCCTCTGAACCGGAGCAAACCATATGACTGTGTGCATTTCTAGTGTCTACAGCCAGCTTCAGTGCTAACATATGATTGGTTAGAACCCGATCGGTAGCATGTGCATTATCAATGGAAAATGGTTGATATTGTACTGTCGATGGTGCTCTCAAATCTAGGCTGCGCATTATACTCCAGATATGCCTTGAATCGCCAAAATGTTACTCAAAAGAGAGGGTGCGCATTTTGCTCAGGTGCGGGTTATACTCCGGCAAATACGGTACACAGCAAACGCAGACTTACTTGTGAAGATCAGATTTCACTGAAAGACGCGGTAGTGCAATCACCTGCACTGATTGATTTTAATTCTCAGATTTTATTTGAGTTTTATCCACTCCCTACGTATTTCTATCTTTCCTTATCCTATTGGTTTGGGTAGACTCCCATGCTAGGTATCCATTTACCTCTGGAGAATCCGTAAATAAACAATACTATACCAAAATACAATACTGCTGCTACAGTCAGGCCTCGCTTATTCGGTCCTCTTTTATCCGGATCCCTCGCCATCCCTAAGAAAATAGCCGGTTACAGATATACGGCATGCGTGATGCATCCAGCATGATCAGTGTTCGATTACTAGTATCCGGTTCCCTCGTCTGTCCGGACATTTTTGTGGAAAACGGATGTGTGCGGTTAAGCGAGGCCTGACTGTACTATCACGTTGCATAATATTACCCGCCTGGATCTCTTGTCATGGAGTCGTGTGGCGCTGTTCCAATAGCCTTGCTTTGCTCTGCTGCCTGGAGCATACCTGCCAACCTTTGCAGACCTGAGATCGGGACAATGCCATACCTCTGTATGACAATGACAATATACATGTAGCTGTGAAGCATTCGATTTTGGGGTGCTTATTGCCACCGTCGATATTGGGACGGTCCCGGCCGAATCGGAATGGTTGGTAGGTGTGCTGGAGCTATTGACACGGAGTGCAATCTTCTTGCCTTTGTTTGCTGTGCTGCCTGCAGGGACGAAGCCAAGCAAGAAGAGCTCTTCAACTACTCTCTCAGTCTTGTCAAGGATCTGCTCAGCGAGGACAGTGTCAAGATTCTGGGAATCGACCTGGACGCCGTGACCAGTCCACCACCTACAGGCGGCCCCATCGCACCACCGTCACCGGCTGAGGCCAGTGCAGCCAATGCCGACGCCAGTGCGGGAGCTGAAGCGTCAGCGGCAGCTGCTGCATCTCCCGAGGCAGCTCCGGAAGCAACCCCCGCCGCCGTGAGTGCGCCCGAGGATACGCCTGCCATGGCAGCCACGTCTACCGCTGACGAAACCTCCACTGTGCAGGACACGCCCAACGAGCCAGAAAGTGCTCCGGAGGCTGAGGCTGTCACTGAAGATGGCAATGAGCCCGAAAAGCCATGCGAAGCAGCAGCTGCACCGGAGGCTGAGGCAGTCACTGAAGATGGCAATGAGCCCGAAAAGCCATGCGACGCAGCTGCTGCACCAGAGGAAACAAGTGCTGCTGCAGCAGATGAGAAGTCAGCAGAGGAGCCAGCAGCCACCGAGGTACCTGCAGCAGAAGAGAAGTCAGCAGAGGAGCCAGCAGCCACCGAGGTACCTGCAGCAGAAGCCTGCGAGGAGAAAGCACCCGAGGGGGAAGATGTTGCAAAGGATGAGTAAGACGTCGCTCCGCAACGGCGTCCTCTTATCCCACCGAGTTTCGGTCACGGTTAGAGTTGTGCAAATACTCACATTCTCTGTCTGTCTCTCTGCATCTCTCTCTCTCTCTCTCCGTCTTACGGTAGATATCTCTCCCCCCCCCCCCCCCCCACACACACACACACTGTGTGAACATTCACAAAAATTATCCCACTTGTTTTCTTGTACATTTCGATTGCACGTATAATAATCTAAGTCTGCACACTAGCACACTAACTATGGTAAGTATGTGTACGTGTGTAGGCTAGTGTACTGCTGGTAGTGTACAAGTAACTGTCATGGATATGTTTGTTTTACTCGTGTTTTACGATAGCAATAAACAATTACTGCAGTGCAGTGTTGTCTACTCTCTTCCACCGCATCATTCGACATGAAAGAGGGGTTTCCCCCGCTCGTTGTTTTCTTTTCACTGGACAGACTACAGGTGGATGACTTCATTTTTTGGGCGTTTTCTAGTTATCTGGTTTCGTAATATTGAGAGATTTTATTCCTTCTAAAACGTTGAAATGGTGATGATCGTAAGATAGAAATGTCATAATAATTAAGATAAGCGACGCGGAGACAGCTAGCTATCATTATTTATCATGTTCCTTATCAATTCTGGGCAGGAAAGTGAGCATTATGACTCCCACCCGGTCGTATTCAAGACCTTTTACATTTTTATTTGCTATTGTCGTAAATTTCTCGTGTTGTGTTAATAAAAACGAAGGAGAGATTTTCGCTTGTTGGCGATGTGTGGTTTGTGGGCCTCATTTGCCGTCAGTGTGCGTAGTGAACATGTTCATCACAAAGCCTACATACCCGATTGCACCTATCCCAATATCATCGCTGCCTCAGTACCGTATGAGTGAATCACCCATGACATGATGGGCGTGTGATGATTATTGCTGCACAAAAGTACATGCACACTCAAACGTCTCTTATCCGGACGCCACAGATACGTGCACGTCTCTCTACCGGGCACCTTCAGCTTGAGTTTCCCATGGCAAAAACGCTTCGAATTTGGGGTTTTTTAACTTTTTTTCGTGTGCACAAGTGCATAATCCCCCCCCCCCCCCCCCCCCCTGTGTAATCCACACAATTGCCATCAATGGATTTTTTTATTTTTTATCCTGGACATGTGCAATACGTGCCAAATAGACTTCTTCAAAAACTGATATGGTACGTAGTAGCTGAGCTGACTTAGAAACGGGCAGTGCCCGGTCCCAAGGCGCTCGGATAAGAGACGTCCGAGGTCCGAGTGTATGAAGACATCGAGGGCTGGTAGACCTGGCTCGGGGGGGGGGGGGGGGGAAGACCACCCACTTCATTTCCGGTACCGTCAGGATTCTGAACATCCTGTTTAATATGTGCAGTCTAACAGCAACAGTGGTTTTGACCGTATTAAAAATGAGAGGGATTGTAAGGCTCGAGATTCACACACAAGATTCACACTGCTCTGCTCAATGAAATCCAGTCGAGTAACACTCAAGTTTGCGCCTTGCACCATTTCTCAGCCCAGTGTTCGCAGCTGGTCTATGGCTGCCCAACCCCCGGCGCGTACTTGAGTGATGCGACTGGATTCCATTGAGCAGTACTGGATGTACATGGTACCATCAAGAGTACAATCATGGTTATGTACTCTTGATGGTACCAAGAGTATATACCCCCCCCCCCAGGGGGTTATTATACTCTTGTTCCCCAGGGGGTTATTATACTCTTGTTGATTACATCATTTTAGTGATGTAGTGCGTACAAGCAGGATTCAAGCAGGTCTCTTTCTGCACAACTGCAGCTCAGTGGTAAGCACTACGCCATTTCCCACCTCAGATCTGCGCCAAAGCAATAATTATGATGTAATCACGGAATTCTGCCGTGACAGACACCCATGGGCCATAGCAGAAAAGGCCCCCAAGCTGCACACTCTGGTTTTCATATACTCTTGGCACCGTCCACCATGAACATCAACTCAATCAAGCACAACATCATGTGATATCATTCGCGCTGTCGATAAAGGCTCCTCATCTCAACTCCCAGTTACCTGTACGGTGCTGGCACGACACCCTTCTGGCCTGGCCACTGTCCAAGCAATTCATAGCTGCAGACCCAAGCACAAGTGACAACCGGATATCAATTCAATAGTCAATGTAGTAAACATGAGGAGTAGACCAGGACTGGCATGCAATCCAACATGTAACAGAACACTGAACTGTACAGAATATCGTGAGCGGACACCTGTCCTGTCCTTGAACATTGCCGTAAAACGGTCACATGTCGCCTCATACGAGGGGCCGGACACACACACACACACATGCACATACGATACCACACACACGCGCGCACGCGCGCACACACACACGCACACACACACACACACACAGACTTTTAAACACCAAAGAAGTGAAAGACAAGGCGCACTACCTGAGACGCATGGCAGGAAAAAAGACAGTGCACAAACAGAAAATAGAGAAAGACAGAGCGGGGATTACGAAAAGCATAGAGAGCAGAGGGATTGAACTTCAACAGGATGAGGAAAACTCTGAAGAACAGAATGACGAAAATCACAGCAGTCAGGTACACATTATACAACAGATAACAAATGAGAGGCGGCCAGACACACGGTACAGACAGAGCAAGCAATTAATAGACTCAGTGAGAACTGTGCCCAGCCATTGCCATTGGCAAATGAAAACTATGAGTAACAATTATGCAGGGTGTTGGGGAAACCAGAGAGAGAGAGAGAGAGAGAGAAGAGAGAGAGAGAGAGAGAGAAGAGAGAGAGAGAGAGAGAGAGAGAAAGAGAGAGAGAGAGAGAGAGAGAGGAGGGAGGAGAGAGAGAGAGAGAGAGCGAGCGAGAGAGAGAGAGAGAGAGAGAGAGAGAGAGAGAGAGAGAGAGAGAGAGAGAGCGAGCGAGAGAGAGAGAGAGAGAGAGAGAGAGAGAGAGAGAGAGAGAGAGAGAGAGAGAGAGAGAGAGAGAGAGAGAGAGAGCGAGAGAGAGAGCGAGAGAGAGAGAAAGAGAGAGAGAGAGAGAGAGACACACACACACACACACAGATGGAGAGTATGGTTACATAGAAACTACGAGCAGCAGCTCAGTCAACTACTAATAATAAAAAGAGAGAAAAAAAGTAGACACAGTGCCGATCACAAGAATTGTTAAAAAACCTAAAAGTTTTTTTTTGTCAAAATAAGCCAGACATAGCACACGGTTTGAATGGGCAAGACGCATACACATACAGTGGACAGCAGCAAAGCTGAATGATGTGCTGTGCGGTGAAAACGACTATTCGCCCACCAGACTAAGGGACTAGAGTGTTGCCACAAACGCAGTGGGAAGGACAATTATCTAAAAGTCAAGTCTGAGGTGGGCAGCAGAACAGCAGGACGCAGCCAGTGAGGAAAAATATTTCACGCATACCAAAAAAAAACAACAACAACGCCATCTTCGCGGATAACACTGAATCGGCACAGGAGGAGCAAGGTCAGAGTGGCACTGAATTGGACACACACAGATACCGACAGGTTGGATACAGACACACGTGCGCACGCATGCACACACACACACACTTGCACGTGCCGGTGCGTGCATGCACACACATGCACACAAACATGCACACAAACATGCACAGACACACAGACACACAGACACACAGACACAGACACACACACACACACACACACACACACACACACACACACACACACACACACACACACACACACACACACACACACACACACACATGCTGGCAGCACACCAGACCGTAACAGAACACCTCAATACGAGTGTATTTAGCAAGACCTTGCCTTGCTACACCACACTTCAGCGGGCAGACACCCAGGTTCATTAGGTATTGAGAACACGCGCTACGACGGCAGTTCACGCTCGATGGGGCGTAGAACGCCGCGTTTGTCCGCCGCCACTTCCAGCGCCCTGCCGGCTGGCGGTACGCCGTGGTGTATTCGTCTGGTGCTGTGCTGGCTGCGGCCTGTGTTGCTGCTGCTGTCTCTGGTGCTGCTGTTGTTGATGTTGTTGTTCCAGTGCTCTGTAGTACTGCTCGTCTGGATGCGCTGACTGCGACGAGGATCGGTGCCTGGGCTGCTTGACAGGTTTGTCGTACGCGGCCATGATGTCACGCCGGTTGAACGTGAAGTTGTACAGCTGGTTAGATCGTTTTACTGCAGAACACACGCGCGCGCGCGCACACACAAACGCGCGCACACACACACACATACGCACACGCACACATATCAGGACCTCTTTGTCAGCAGCAAACTCTTCTTGCCTTGCGGAAAACATATGGATACGCTCAAGACGCACGTCGAAGGCACAGGCAAATCGTTGCAGACTTGGCCTCGATTCGAAACTCCATCATGAGCCGTCCTGAACCTCTTGGTAAGCATGCTATACCAAACGTAATCTAGAAGATGTTACCATGCCCGACAAGTAAGGTCACAAATCTCTGCCCAAGAGCGAAAGGGCAGTTGCAGCCGGCAAAAGCCATGGGGGACCAGTGGATTACATGCATACCCACTCCACACAAATAGCCAAAGACCCCAGAAAGGCGAAGAAAAAGAGGAAGAAAAATGTGGACCGTGTGGAACTGAAAGCCAGGCACACACCGTGACCATTAGAAAGCAGAAACACACTGTTGGCTATATGCCTACAACACAGAGTCATTTCAACGTACGTTCGACCGGGGGAAGCGTCAATGGCGTGCCACTGTTCCCTTGAGCCGTCTTCAGAATCCACTGAGTGAGGTCTGTAATCCGCATCCGCTCCCCGCCCGTGCGGAGTGGCGATGCCGGCGGCGAGGCCTGGCTAGGGACACTGGACGGCGTGGACGAGGTGTTTCGGCTGGATGGGCGCGGAGCACGAGCGGGGCTGGGCGCTTGCTGGGGTGGAGCCCGTGTCATTGACTGCTGCTGCTGCTGTTGTTGTTGTTGTTGTTGTGGCTGCTGTTGCACACATGGAACAGAGTACATCATGCGCAAAAGAACATAATCAATTAAAAAAATTGACATTGCTCTGTTGCTGGAGTCCCCACAGCAGCAACACTTCCTTCTGGTACGTAGTCCTGGCCAGAGAAATACGACACCTCATGATTATAATAGTGCCGCGGGCTACAATAGTGCTGCGGGCTACAATAGTGTCGCGGGATACAATAGTGCCGCGGGATACAATAGTGTCGCGGGCTACAATAGTGCCGCGGGCTACAATAGTGCCGCGGGATACAATAGTGCCGCGGGATACAATAGTGCCGCGGGCGACAATAGTGTCGCGGGCTACAATAGTACCGCGGGATACAATAGTGCCGCGGGCTACAATAGTGTCGCGGGCTACAATAGTGCCGCGGGATACAATAGTGCCGCGGGATACAATAGTGCCGCGGGATACAATAGTGCCGCAGGCTACAATAGTGTCGCGGGATACAATAGTGTCGCGGGCTATAATAGTGCCGCGGGCTACAATAGTGCCGCGGGCTACAATAGTGCCACGGGCTACGCTGCACTAGCACCACACCCACACATACATGCACACATACATGCACACATACATGCACATGTACATTCATATACACGCACATACACATACATGCCCAACACACACACACACACACACACACACACACACACACACACACACACACACGCACGCACGCACGCACCAACCCAACCCCCACCCCGCCCACACACGCCCACACTCACAAACACACACACTCACCGGGAGAGCAACGAGACCGGGAGGCAGTTGCTGAGCTTGGTGCGGCTGCCATGGACCTGGTTGCTGGTACTGCACTCGCTGTGACATTGCCGACTGCTGCGAGTGTGGAATTCGGTGGTCCTCAGTGGCCTGGCCCTGCTTCGGCATTTGGATAGTTTCTAACGGTGGCATCGATGGCGAAATACCTCTCTGCTGGTTAGCTGGTATCAAGGGTACTTGCTGCTGTTGCGTCATCGGTTGGGGAGGAATTAGCTGCTGGGTTTGATGATAGACATGCTGCTGCGAGGCCAGGAGCGGTGGCATTTGTTGGCCGGCCTGATGCTGCGGAGCTCCCAGCTGCTGCTGCTGCTGGACCGTGAGACCGGCGGCGACGACAGGAGCTGGGTGCTGGGCGACCAGCTGTGAGGGCAGCAGGGGCTGGGAAGAGGACACGGCCGACGATGAGATAGCCTGATCGAAGAGGAAGAAACGGGCAAGAGGCACAAAACAAAAACCAGATCGTTTATTTCAGACGGTCAGACAATACCCGCACTACGAGCCTACTCAACCACAATAAAACCTGTCAAGGCGATCACTCGGATAAAGCCGGTCACCTGTCCTAGGAGACCACTGCGACCAAGGGATGCTATTTCCAGTCAAATGACCCTGGATAAGGAGACCACCTGGTAACAGAGATCACGTTTCGAAGGTCCCTTGAGCGGGTCGTCTTAGACAGGTTTCATGGTACATACAAAAGTACTCAATCTCCGCACAGCTCGCGGTTTCGACCTCGTTAAAGGGGAAGTTAAGGCAAAAATTATAATTTCACCAGTTGTAGTCTTCGGAGTGCTGAGTCGAATGGTCGTGGTCCGAGGAAGCTGAGACGCTCCCTTCCTACTTGAATCCCAATCGAACTCGCGCACTTCCACCGAAACTGGGTGACTGCGCCCTACTAGATGGGGATTTGTATGCATAATGTCACTAAAAGCGCCATTTCGTTCTTATAAAAGCACGGATGACCGCGATTGGCCCATATGTTGTAGTCTTTTGGACGCTGAGTCGACTGGTTTTGGTCCGAAAAGGCTGCGATGCAGCGTTCCTCCTTTATTCCCAATCGAACATGGTTGAAGAAGCGGTCACGTGGTCCTGGGTGCCCAAATCACCTGGTCACCACGCCAGCAGGTGACAACTTTCACACCAAGGTTCAACTCGAGTTCAACTCGAGTGACAGGACTGCACCCAAAAAAGGTCAAACAGGCTAGTAAGTTGTACCCTGCAGGCACGGTGACCAGGTGACTGGTGTACGCAGGAGCACGTGACCGCTTGTTCAACCATGTTCGATTGGGAATAAAGGAGGAACGCCGCATCGCAGCCTTTTCGGACCAAAACCAGTCGACTCAGCGTTCAAAAGACTACAACATATGGGCCAATCGCGGTCATCCGTTCTTTTATAAGAATGAAATGGCGCTTTTAGTGACATTTTGCATACAAATCCCCATCTAGTAGGGCGCAGTCACCCAGTTTCGGTGGAAGTACGCGAGTTCGATTGGGATTCAAGTAGGAAGGGAGCGTCTCAGCTTCCTCGAACCACGACCATTCGACTCAGCACTCCGAAGACTACAACTGGTGAAATTTTAATTTTTGCCTTAACTTCCCCTTTAAGTCTGATCCGCTGAGATCAGAGTGACTGGTTGTACCGACCGCAAAGAAGTCTTGTTGACAGCAAAGCCTTTTCTGACCGGCTCTAAACGCATCAAAGTCAGAGTGCTCTAACGGTGAGAGACACAGCGAGAGTTGCACGAGCCCAGGTGACTTGGACATTTACCAGAATGTGTGCGCGCGCGTGTGTGTGTGTGGGGGGGGGGGGGGGGGGTGCGTGTGTGTGCGTGTTGCCAAACTGTCAGGTAATTCACTGTGCCACAATTCCAACACCAGCATCACCACACAAGACTTACTGTGTGCACAGGGCTCGCCGCATGCACAGCAGAAGTGGCAGTAGTTCCGAGATGTGCGTGTGAAAGCTGCCCTGCTGAAACTTGGTACGGCGCTAATGATGGAGTAGTGTCCGTGGACATTGAACTGGGAGTAAGAAGAGGAAGGCGCGGTGCTGCAAGAAGAAGAAAAACAACAAGCAGAGGAAAGAGAAACAAGGTACGGGGTCAGCTGCTAAGGCTGGTGGGTGCAAGAAAGATGGGAGTTATGAACAGTTATGTCACAGATACTGCAATTGTGGTATGCTCTGTCTGTCTGTCTGTCTGCCTCCCCCTCCCTCCCTCACCCACGATATGTATGGATGTATGTGTGTGCGTGTATCTGTTTGTCTCCTTCTAGTTGGCACGTGCACGCACACACCACACTGGGAAGCCAGGCTATTGAGCTACGAGGCTCATTGACAAGGAACACGGCCTGTACGTTTGTTGAATAGCAGCAGCAGCGTCTGCAGCAGTAGTACCGCACTGCTCCTGCAATGCAATGCGCGAAGCCCCCCCCCCCCCAACCCCCTACACAGAGTCCAAGTCCAAAAGAACGCGTCAACTCACAGGCAGTAGATTGTCCAGCACTGGCCATTCTGATACCGGGCGGGAGAGTGCTTGCCAGTGGCACTGCTGCTGCTGGCATTGAGGCCATGGTTGAACGCTCTAACAAAGACACGTGGGTCATAGCAGCGGAGGTGGGGGTGGCAGTGGTGACATCGCTAGCCGTCGTCATCAGGCCACCGAATACCACGCCCGGCGCTGGCACGGGTGCCATGACGCCGGCGGCGGCGCTAGAATGAGCGGAGTCGCCGGCGGCAACGGCTGACGACGGGCGAGCACCGGCGGTGGGCTGAGCGACTGGCTGCTGGGCGAGCAGCGAGCGCTCCAGACTGCTGCTGTCCATCATGCTCGGCGGCAAGCTGGCACTGGCACCGTCCATTGTGCCCGCCCCACTGACCTGCTGGGGCTGTTGTTGTTGTTGTGTCGTCAAGACGCCGGAGGCTGCGGGGCCGGCGCCGAGCGGATGGCGTGAGCGAGAGCGTGCCTGCTGGCGGAGGATCTCACCACGATGCGCCGCAATCCACTTGCGCAGGTTGCTGTGCGCGGCGAAACACACATTTCACAAAACAAGAAGCTAAAACCACACCGTTCCACACGTTCCTTTTCCACGATTCAGGCTGGGAAGGCATCAAACGGGAGGACACTTCACCAAATGAAAACAAACACATGAAATGTCTCAAAAGACAAGACTGCCAGAGGTAATAACAAGCCCATTGCGCATTGCCAGATACGGGGATAGCATAAGTAAAGCATGTGAGTATGCTGGGATCGTCAATGCACTGTTCAACACCACACACAGCCATGTCCAGGTGGCTGTGTGTGGGTGTTGACCGTACAGATTACGTCATTGTGCAATGATGGGCTTATGGGAAGAGGAGGGGAGGGTAAGCCGCCCGGCTCACGGTTTTCCAGTACGGTCGTGTACTCGCTGACGTGGACCGCTTAGTTGGCAATCTTCCTGTGCTTTGTCACAGAACACTAACTACAGGTCCTCCCTCATTATAACAAGTCCGGCTAGTACATAAACCCCGCTAGTAAATTGAAATCTGAAATCCCCTGGTGAAACGTGGTCTATACAACTGTTTACAGGTCCGGTTACAACATAATTGGTTAGTAGATGAAATTCGTTATAACGACCCTCTGCCCAGGTCCCTGGAGTGCCAAACCCTCAGTATAAGATAAAACTGGCCATGCAGGACCAAGGCCCAAACACATAGGATAAAGCAGAAACACACAACGCATTCTATCTGTGTATTCGTAGATATGGACGATCTTTTGAATCAAAGGAACATCTTCATTGAAGATTTTCTATATCTTCTAACGAGTTGAAGCGTCGATAATTTATGCTGTATTGAGGGTACCCCATGTAAGTATGTATCAGTGAGTCTTGCATCTTTAATTGAAAGTCCTGTTACAAGATGCGTCTCGTTATAGGATAACCTTTTCGATGGCCCCGAGATGATCTACTAACGAGGGAGGACCTGTACCAAGAGGTTCATGTCGGCAAGAGTACAGCAAGAGTACATAACCAAGAGTGCACAACTCGACGATCCCCCAGCCCACGGCGGATATTTTTTTATGACATCAGTCTTTGGGCGTCTGTTTGGCTCCCTGATACCATCATGCGTCGCCAGAGATCAAAGTACAACGGATTTGTACACCACAGCTGCAACAGTCAAAACAGAACAGTGCACGATAGATCGATGAGTCCTGAACCTGATGAACTCTCACCGTATCTACAAAACAAGCGCAGGAAAGCATACGCACTTGATCATACTTCTGCCAAAGAATGACGCAATTAAAACATTCTATCGCAGCTCAAGATAGGAGTTGCACACTCTTCGTTATGTACCCTTGATGTCGGGAAAGGTAGGGCAACTTGACTATTTCTCAAAGAAACTCACCGAACGTATCCGAATACCATGAAAAAGTTCCTGGGGGACATCTTGCTCTTCTTGAACGCAGCGTGATCATTCTTCCCAGTGGGCAAGGAATCGATGTCGAACCATTGAATCCCCTGAGAATACACCGCGTGAGGGAGAGAGAGAGAGAGAGAGAGAGAGAGAGAGAGAGAGAGAGAGAGAGAGAGAGAGAGAGAGAGAGAAAGAGAGGGTGAGAGAGAGAGAGACAGAGAGAGAGAGAGACAGAGAGAGAGAGAGAGAGAGAGAGAGAGAGAGAGAGAGAGAGAGAGAGAGAGAGAGAGAGAGAGAGAGACAGAGAGAGAGAGACAGAGAGAGAGAGACAGAGAGAGACAGACAGAGAGAGACAGAAGGAAAGAGTCAGCAAACACATGGCAGAGACACAGAAGCTTGTTGGCACACATTAGCACACATCCTGAGCAAGCACACATCCACGCGCACACACACGCGCACACATACACACAGACACACACACACAGACACACACACACACACACAGATGGGAGCCTAACTAAGTTATCACCACAGTTGCCCCTTACCTTCACTTCGTTGCGTGTCTTGGGCGCAAAGTGTTCCGATGTGGATACACCTGGCACTAAGTAGAGCCTGACAAGGCGGTTTGTGCTGTCCCTCTGTTCCAGAAAGTCGTTCTCACGTGCCAAAGGGGCAAAGTTATAACCAGTCTCCTCCTCAACCTGTATACAAACAATGTTATACAAACAATGCTATAACCAGTCTCCTCCTCAACCTGTAGCAATGCTATACAAACAATGTTAAAATCAGTCTCTTCCTCAGCCTGTAGCAATGCTATACAAACAATGTTATACAAACAATGCTATACTGTATGTCAGCGCCTTTAAAGCCATGGCCTTATATTTGAAACACCACTGCTTTCCTAGCTATTTTAGATGCAAAATGACTCACCCACTACGCCATGCTGTAAAAGTCAAAGTACACACTGAAATCTCAATCTACATCCACTTGTTCACCCTTTCTGCTGGGCTGGAAGTTTGAAGCCATGGCTTTATAACTGAGACTGGCTTTATAATCAAATATACCGCCACGGCTTTAAAGGTGCGGACATACGGTAAGCAGTCTCCTCCTCAGCCCGTAACAATGTTATACAAATGTTAAAAATCAGTCCCCTCCTCAACCCGTAACAACGTTAAACAATGTTGTTGGTGACAGTGTGACTGTGGCTGACAAGTTCACAGATGGATGAGTGCATGTGCCTGTGTATATGCGCGTGTCGTGACCCTGTATACTGCAAAGCGTGACATTTTTGCGGCGTTTTTAGTTCGCGCTTTCAGAATCCGGACAGGTTTGCGAGGTTTTAATTTTGCGATTGCAGAATGGCATTCTTGCTAAACCGGTGGCATTCTTGCTAAACCGTTCATGCATCTCCTTTTCGCGCTTTCTAAATTTCGCGATTTCCACGCGGTCGCGAATTTTACAGAAATTAGACCATCGCAATAATTTCACGGTTTACAGTAGACGGTACGGTAAAGTACCGCCGGAGAGCCTCGTCTCACGAGAGCGCCCCGCCTTGATTTTACAGCCAGGGAAAGAGAACTCGTATGGCAGAGTGCAACGAAGTTTGTACGGTGTGAGAGCCCTAGTGTGCTTACTGAGGTCACACTTAGCATGTTTTTGTGTGGGGCTCGGCGGTAAACTGAGTCTAGATTGACTGCCCAGCGTGCAATGTGTGTACAAGGTACGTGTCGTACGACCTTCAGACAGGACACCACCTCCACAGCACGACCACGAAAGGGCGAGTTGGTGGGGCGCTCTGGCGGCACTTTACGACTCCCTGGTCAGTGCTCAGTAATCCAGTAAAACCTGTAACTAAAGACCACCATGACTAGCGACCAGCCTGACACTAAAGACCACTTCACCAGGCACGGACGGTCTCACATTCATACATGGTTGGGCGGTGGAAACCTCTAACTAAGGACCACCTGCCACTAAAGACCGCTTTCTCTGGCCCCAAGGGATGGTCGTTAGTCACAGGTTTTACTGTAACACCAGCACTGTACTCATTCACTATCTCATGCAGTGCAGCCAACCTGCCACGTGCGTGCCTCTACCCTCGTTTGGGTGTATGCGCAAGTGTGTGTGTGTGTGTGTGTGTGTGTGTGTGTGTGTGTGTGCGTGTGTGTGTGTGTGTGTGTGTGTGGTCACTTCATCAGCCTTGCAAGCTGTTGAATGGTGTAATCCCAGCACAAGTTGCTATGTCTAACATAGCTGTTCGCTATCATCGCTTCCGCGATGGGCAGGTCTGAGGTCTGAGGTGTGTGTGTGTGTGTGTGTGTGTGTGTGTGTGTGTGTGTGTGTGTGTGTGTATGTGTGCGTGTGTGTTTGCACATGCGTGTGCATGTGTGCACGCAATCACAATTGCTTGCACACTAAGTAATCAGACCTAACGAGAAGCAATAGAACAAACCTCTCTGATTGCACAGTACAATGCTGACTCATCCTTGTTGGCCTTGCCGCGAGGAAACATCCAATTACCGTTGTAGTAGCTTTCCACAAGAACGCACTGGATCAAACACACACACACACACACACACACACACAAAACAAGAACAAACATGACACGATTACAACACGCCCATGTGATTATCCTCCACTTGACAAAAACAACAAGTTTTCAAAACACGCACCCATGCATGGACACAAATGCGTACCCACACCCGTACCAGCACGCACACGCGTACAGACATTGACCTTTGACGCCCATCGCCGGAGGCGATGATAGCAATGCTACGGCAGAAGCCATAGCAACTTGTGCTGGGATTGCACCATTCAACAGCTTGCAAGGCTAAAGAATTGACTGTCACTATTCAGCCTGGTCTACACCATACAGCTATTTGAAGTGATTTACACACATACACACACACACACAAACATAAACACACACACACACACACACACACACACACACACACACACACACACACTCTCTCTCTCTCTCTCTGTGTGTCTGTGTCTGCCTCTCCCTGTCTCTCTATCTCTGCCTGTCTCACTCTGCCTCTCAATCTCTACCTGTCTCTCTCTATCTCTGTCTCTCTCACTCTGCCTGTCTCTATCTCTGCCTCCCTCACTCTGTCACTCCTGTGTCTCTATCAATGTACTTCTGTCTCTCTGTCTGCAAATGCGCTGCTGTCCCTCTGTGTCTGTACCCGAGTTTCTGTCCAGTTGTCTATGTTTGCCTACGTCAGTCTCTTTCCTATCCGCCCACCTCTCTGTCTGCCCATCTACTGTATTTCCGCGATTATAAGTCGCTCCCGATTAAAAGTCGTACACCCATTTTCAGGTTTGAACCATATTGTTTCAATACAATCAAATACTGTAGTGTCTTGTATTAAAGCCTGTCTCATATAGAAGCCTGGTTTTCAAGATACACTGTCGGCACATAAGCCTGGCTTTAGTGTTGACATACATAGAGATACATGTATTGTATAGAAGCCTGTCTCATATAGAAGCCTGCAAAATTTCCCAACCCAGAAAGTCACATAAGCCGCGGCTTTTATACACGACTTTACGGTAAGTAAGAGGTCGCATTCAATTGTAAGTCGCATTCCCTTCTTTGCCCCTGAAGTTTAGCACAAGAAAGGAGCGACATATATTCGGGGAACTACGGTATCTCTAGTGAGAATACCAGTTGCCATGGCAGCTCACCTTGGTAAGATCATGGTTCATGAGAATAGCTCCATGGCACGGTACTCGCTTCTTGAACTCCTTCCACCTCTCGTAGATCTGATCGATTTCGGGCAACTTCGGCGTCAAGTATGGCAGGTAGCGAAAAACTTAACAAGTCGTCAGTCAAGGTCAACTTGATTATTTCCAGCATTATCCGCCAATGGCTACTTTACAGTGTTCGGTGTGCATGTACATGTACAGTGTAAAAGATCGATAATTATGGACGGCTATTTAAAGCAGAAATATTCGTCTGGAATTAAATTTCGTCTTTTTCGTCCAAGGAGCTTTCGGACTAAATTAAATGTCGGACTAATGTCGATTAGAACTCTGATGGTGAGCCAATATAGTTATGATGAAGAATAGGTGTCAGGTTGCCGAATGTCTCAGTACTCCTTGTCAGTTTTGTGCCATTTTGTCGCACTCGCTGACTGTATAAGATCAGGTTACGTTGATGGACAGTTTGTCATACTCGTAACATTTTGTCCTTTTCCTTTCTTCATCATAATGTCGATTAGTTCAGCTTTTCACAACACTCTTATGGTCCATGGACGAAATTTACAACCGGACGAACTCCCTTTCTTTGGAGTTGGCCGAAATTATTTACCGACAAAATGTTCTGCCTGTACAGTATATCGAATGATACATCGTTGGAAAGCAGTGTTCAATAGCTTTCCAATGAGCTGTCATTGTTTCAATTTGAAGTAGGGAGACCGAAGTTATAGCTGTTTGTACAGTGGTCTATGCTCGTTTCTATATGCTCCGTGTGCGTGACGAGTTATCTCGTCCTTGGCCATTCAGGGTGGTTGTTTCAGGACGAGTTATCTCGTCCTTGGCACTGAAAGGGTCAATCCAGCACTTCAGCCGTCCCTCTTTAACCCAGCGCTTTAGAAACCAGCACCCACAATAAAGTATGAACCAGCATAATTTTCAGCAACCAAAAAATGTGCTTTTCATGCACATTGCAGCAGCACATCAGATTTCATGTTACAGCACCCAGCTCCCTAATCCAGCAGAACTTCCGTAGCATAAGTGCTGGTACCGGATTATAAAGAGATCACTGTTTTGTTTTTTTTTGTTTTGTTTTTACAAAGACCACTTAAATACCAAACATGAGATGCAGCTAGGGGAAGCACGCACAGCCTGAATCGTGGCAGTGGTGGCGAGGTTTAGGTACCCTGCTCTGGGGCGGGGAGAGGTAGGATTCCCGCCGGCCCCAGGTGCGTGCACATGACGTTGTATTATCCGCAACCCGCTTTTACAACGAATGTCAAGAGGATACTCCGCATGGCAAATTTCTTCGTGTCCAGTCTGGGCAGAGTGGCGGAATCTTCCTCAACGTACAGGTCCAAGTAGTACCAGTAAGCCATCTCAATGTAGAAGAACAGCTGTGTCGTGTCATCCTTCACGTCTTTGGGCAGGTTGATCAGGAACCGACTGTGCAGCGCGGTGGGAGAACAAACACGGCACCAAACGGCAACACAAAGAAGAAACGCTCTGCAGTGCGGTGCAAAAGTACCGCCTACCCTTTATTTACTGTGCATAAAGTACAAATTTTCGTTCACGAAATCCTTCGTTATTTCATTCCACCAGCAGGCTTGTTACGTACTAAGTTTCGTTTTTGGTCGAGGTCTGTCACCCCGAACGTTCAGAAAAAAACTTAGTTTGGTACAAATTTTAGTTATTTCGTGCCCGCTAACGAATATAGCGAAAGTTAATTTTCACTAGTTTGAGGGAAAGACACAAACGGGAAACGTCTGAAGAAAAAAATTGACTGTCACCACCAGGACTCGAACCAGGGACCCTCGCTTGTAGGTAGCGATGCTCTAACCACTGAGCTATGGTGTAGTCGTCATCCCAGCAGAGACCGTTCAACATTTTCTTCAGACTTCGTAACTCACACTTCCTGTGAATCCACACAGGCGGGTGGGACGCAGCCCTCACTGTACACACACACACTTCACGTACAAACTAGCACGCGGGGAGCCCCAAGTAATAAAATCTGACCGACGAAAGTTAATTCCAAACGAAAATTTGTACTTAGGCCATGGCAAAAAATAAAATTGATTCTCAGGTCCTGAACCTGTGAAAATCAGTGCGAGCGAGCGATTTTTTAGTTTATTTCCCACAATTTTTTATTTCCAAAGATAGGGTCGCACATATGTACATGGTCACATGTTATTATACCGTATTCAGGCCAGGGAGTAGAAAAATACCGGTATTTTACTACTCCCTGATTCATGCCTTTCGCATTGACCGTTTTCATGCGCGCATATGCATGCATAGAAATTTAAAAAATCGTCGGTGCGCCGCCAAAAATCGGTGCGTGCGTACTTGAGAATCAAAGATAATTTTTACCATGGCCGTATACAGTATGTGGATAGTCAACGTGGAGATAAGAACCGTAAAACGAGCGACATTGGCATGAGCGCGAGTATAATAAACTTTGTTCATAGCCATATCCTTTTTTACCCTGGCGATGGACCAGGCACAAACAATTGGCAGAGTGGACTCGGTTGGAGAGCCAAGGATAAATTTATAGTAAAGAAAAAGGACCAAGAAACTTCAAGTTACGCTATAATGTCCACTAACACCACCAGTTACAAAACAAGCAGCTCATGCGATCGGTCAGTGTCGTGCAATGTTATAGTATGAGCTGATTGTTTAGTAACTGGTGGTGTTAGCGGACAGTATAGCGTGACTTGTAGTTTCTTGGTCCTTTTTCTTCACTATAAATTGGTAGAGTACCAGTATATAAATGGATTAGAATTGTAGTAAAGAGACCATTGTTGTAGTTGAGGAGGGAAGTTTCATACACCGCCTATCTTTCCAAAAAAACCTTAGTCCAGTATCAATGGGCATGTTCGATTGGTAGGATCGGGATCCAGATCAACCGGATCAACTGGATCAACTGGATTCGCACCCTTTCAATTGGTCGAATCCGGATCGTTTGGATTGGGATCCGGTCAATCCACCTCGGGAAGCAGGGTTGACCGGATCCAACGGATCCAAATGTGACCTTTGTGCGTATATGGCGGGTAAAAATCATTTTTGTACACATTGTGGTACGCGCACACGTGGATGGAGATACTCTTGTTGACTTTTCGTACGACGCGCGCGATGAGTACGACCTTCGCCCTTTTGGGTGACCTGTATTAAAGCGCCATTTTATTACTTCATCAACATTGCAACAGTCAAGGTCCAGAATAAAGTGTTCGGTTGACTCTGAAGGATCCGACGGATCTGAGATCTGGATCCCACTTTCACTTTAGCTCATACGTGTACATGTACATGTACATCCTTCACAGCGGTGAACCCCTTGATAGGCGACAAGCCTCTGGGTCATCCTAATAAAGATATTATTATTATTATCAGGGGCGTAGCACCCGCTACGACTGGTGCGACCATGGCCGTACCACTTTTCGAAAAGTGTGGTCCGTCCGGAACGTGCACAACCGTAATAAAAAATCAGGATCCATCGATGCATATGCGCATCATGGATATCAGACTTCGACCTTTTTCTAATTCTAGACTTGTAGATCTGTTATGCATCTTCAGTCGGACTGAGTCTACTGTACTCGACTCGACTGCATGTACACTGCGCCAGAAGTGTGTGTGAAGTGTGCCAGAAGTTCCCAGAACACAGGATTTTGTGTCTTTTTACAAAATTTTCCCGTGGGAGGTCCCCCGCACCCCCCTCCAACACAGCCTTCGGCCGCGCCGACCTTCGGTCGTACCACTTCCAAAACCCCTCCTACACCCCTGATTATCCCGATCCTACCAATCGAACATGCCCTAGATTGTATACCACTCTGAGGCACACTGAGCAAACATTTTTTTGAAAATGGGGAATTTGTTATGCTAGTGCTTAGATGATTACACGAGGAACATTTCAAAGCTCGTCTGAGCGTATGCGCATAGTCTCGAAGTAACCGATTCGGTAATAATAAAAAAAGATGATCAAATCAAATTTGAATTTTTGGAAAATCCCATAGTCAAAATGGAAAAGGGAAAAGTCTGAAGAAAAAGTTGACTGTCACCACCAGGATTCGAACAAGGGACCTTCGCTTGAGGCCAGCGATGCTCTAATCTCTGAGCTATGGTGTAGCTGTCATCCCAGCAGACACCGTTCAACAAGAACGTTTCTATGTTTTTCTTCAACCTCTGGAAGAGTGTGGCAGAATTTCATCACTGAGACTGGTGCCAAGAAAGCTGTACTGAGGACAAGAATGGGGGAATCCACACGAATCTCTTACCTGCACAGGTCGTTGAGAATATCCTCACTGATCTTTTCCTTCATTGTTCCAGGTCAATTCAAGAAGAAAAACAAATTTACGTGGCAGAGGGAGTGCTCCTGACGATAATAAAATATTATAGCCTATACAGCTAATTTCGTATGCTACAACTCCTCGTCGTGCAGGCTTCTAACTTGACTAAGGGAAAAAAAGCTCGCACAACAGTCTCC